CCCCAAAACCCCAAAACCCCTTAATGCTGCTTTTAACACTTTTCTTATTCTTAATAGAGTCTAAAAATTAATAATATAATATTCGTTAAAATATCTGTGATATTATTAACCACTGATTTCATTTCTTATTATAATTAGCTGTATTTACAGCAAGACTGTTAGAAGCTCCTAATCTTGGATTTGACTTATGAATAATAGCTTATTATAAATTCTTCTTGTCACCTCCCATCTACAACCACTCAGCTAATGATTATGGTGCCTAGTTCATTATTTATTTAGAAAATTATCATACCATTGATTGAGAGGTGTGTCTATGATTACTTCCGCCCTGAACATTCTGAATAGGCCTACCTATGCTCATGCTATTTACATGATCTCCAACGCTATTTGCATACGTCTAATATTTTTATGATATCTTCTACTTCATCATGTTCATTTAAGGATTATTTATTGCTACATAGATAAATTAATCATATAATATTTACTTACTTCTCTTAACGGCTTCAATATGCTTTAGAATGTTGTAGCGTTCCATGTTTTAAATGACAGAAGAATTTTAATTTTAAACGAAGAAGTAGTTTTAAATATTGTTAATATTATTTGAGATTCCAACTCCATTAACATTATTTGCTGCATTTGCAATTGTGTTTGAAACGATATTACTGGGGTGATGTTAATGAACTCCTGAGTATGCGCTGCTTGAAGTATTTAAATTCTATTGATTATTCTGATAAGGCTAAGATTTAGCTTCTTTTCTATTATGCTGCTGCTAGAATAGACCTGCTGAGTTATTTGAATACTATGACACAGATATTCCAGTTGAAGTAGTCTAACCTGCAATATCATTTGAGTTGTTGAAAGCATTCACAATGAAAGGCTTGATTTTGTTGAGATTGTACTAGTCCTAGGATAACTATGATGGAAAACTTTATCTATTGAGGCTGATTGATTTATGCTTGTGTCCACTATGGCTGATAGTCATAGCTTATCCTATATTCGTATTATAATTTTGTTCATAGCTTGTGTGACTATGATTTTAATGCTAAAGTCTCACCATAGGAAATCGCTTTTAAATAGCCTCAGCTAAACTTTAAGTTGAAACTCCAAAGTTATAGTTCATCAGGTCTGTGAGACCCTTGTAGTTAGTCAAGTCATTTTAATTTTAGAGAGGTAAGGGAGTTGAAGAAATATAGTTTGAGTCCTATATGATACCCTTTGAGGGAGAATCAATAAAATTTGCTATAGTAAGTGATTCCAATGTCTCTTACTTAGTTGGGGAACTCATATAAGATTGCGTGTCACTTTGAAACACATTTGGAAAATTTGTTTAAAGATTGTTCTAAGTCTTATTGAAATCATTAAATGTATTTCGAAGGTTTTAGTTGCCTCCACCAAATGATTGGTTGCTTGGATCTTTTGGTTGCTCATTCATCATGTTTTAATAATCTAATCTATTAGTGTAGTTTTGATTTCTTTTAACAAATACCTTATCGTTAAGATTATTGCCATTTAAAACAGGATTTTTGTTATCTATTCAACTTTGCAAGATACTCGTACTTTATTTCTGATAAGCATTTTGCAAAAACTGAGCTTTCGATTTAACACCCATTGGATCAGTTTTAGCTCTGTTACTATTATTGTTATTCACGATATTGTTATTTAAGTTATTTATTGTTTATTTTATCTGAGGAATGTTATGCGAACTAGTATTCCTAACTCCTCCAGTAAATTCAGACCAGATCATTCTTGCCTAGTCCAAAAAAATATCAAACTTTCTGTTTTTTTCCTAATCTTCCAACACTGGGTATACCATCCTAAAATTGCCCAGATGTTGCTGGTCAAATTCATCTCTCATCATTTAGTTTTTCTTTCTGAGCTATTCCTTTTCAAATTTGTTCATACCTTTTTCACCCATTACTCTTTTATTAAACTGATCAGCTTTTTCTTTTTTCAATCTATAGGGATTATAATATTTAAATAGGATTACAAATGCTTTCGCTTGACAGATAAATTCAACAATGTGAAAGTGTCTTTCATTAGATCTAACTTAACTTTCTTATCAAGAGGACTATCTGTCCCATAAGATGAGCAATGATTTACCTCCAAAACATATGGTCTAAGTTTATGATCAATTAGTATATCAAATCCAAGAATTTCAAAGCACATTGAATTCTCCAAATCTTCAGGCTAGCTTGATCTGTAAGCATGCTATAGACTTGGCTGAACTGATATAAGTGTTTTAGCAATAATATCTTGAATTTATTGCCACAAGTTCTTAGTATCAAAACCTGGGTTTTTTTCCTAAATAGTTTCCAAGACTGAAGTTAGACTTCTTTTATGCCCACTCCCATCATCATCCTAGTCCTCATTAAATATAAAGTTTTCACTGTTTTTATTGATAGCATAGTTTGTTAAATGCATGAATAAATTATCTAAATTGCCGTTTGACGGTCCCACGTACTCCTCTGTAGCAAATCTAGCTAGGCCTTCCTAGTACACAAATACTCTTAAAGGATCTACTCCATAGACAAGTGCATACACTCTAAGATCAAACTTTAAATTATCTATTAGATAAGGTTTATGCATATACCTTTGAGCCACATACTACTCTCCTTATTTCAGATCAACATCCTCGAATTTCCTAACGAGGAAAATACCTTTGCCTTGGCAGAGATGAACTGGCTTTACAATAAAAGTTTTAGATTTCTTCTTGTTAAATTGCATCTTGAATTCTGTCATTTCGGATGGAAGTTACCAGGTTTTTGGAAAAATATTATAGTCATCCTTGAATATTCAAGCCATTCGCATCAAATTTCTACACAGATTATTCTTCCTTGCGAGTTAATACATTCCTGGAAAGTGATTGATTCTTTAATAAGGCTACATTTTCTACACCTGTTCTGGAGTAATACCTCCTGTATCGCACCAGTATATATCCCAATCGACTGTCTCATCATCGCTTTTCTTGAATCCTAGCAATCAACTTGCCTTCTTAATCACAACATATCTGCATTTAAATGTGCAAATTATCAGTTATTACTACTTTTTCTTCTTTTCCTTAGTGTCCTTCTCTTATTTTTAATTGGTTGTTGCAACAGTAGTAGTGGTAGCTGTTGCTGTATTAGACATTCCTGATTTTTTCGAGTAACTTTTCTCCACTTTGCAGTCAGTAATGTTATCCTGCTATTAGCATTTTATATTCTACTATATATTGTCTCTTGATTTTTCCTAGGGCACTGATGGCATACTATCTGGAGACGATTCTTCTAAAAGCTAAGATAATTGATCAACTACTTCCATTAAAATTATTAGATTCTAGAGATAGATAATTAATTTTTAATTTAGAAAAGAAATATTAAAATTAATGTCTTAAAGACTAAGACCTGTTTCAACAAATACCCAAGATATGAATCCCTTCAGAAATCAGAGAGGCTCCAGTTAATATGGTAATATAAATAAGTGAAAGAATTTTATCATTAGGAGCTGAGATGAATGAGTAGGTAAGTCCACTCAAAAAGCAACAGTTTTACATGGATGACAATGATGAGTAAGAAGAATTTGCGATTATTTTACTTCTAATTTTAGAGTATAATATCAAAGCAATATGCCCAGCATTTTCCACAATGAGTCCTAAATGCTAAATAACCAAGTAATTTTGACATTGAAGTTCTAATTATGTTATAGTTTGGATTTGACAATAACTAACACCACTAAATGCTGGGATAATTTGATGACTAGTTTATGATGAATCAATAATAGAATAGAATGCTTGAAGATTCATAATTTTTACCTCCCGGTGAAAACTTTTCTTCCTACCAAAATGAAACACCCCCTATCGATCAAAACTTTATTGACTAGAAGATTATATAAAATATTCAAAAGTATATTTCTGGGTTTATGACTTAAGGGCAGATGCCTCCTCAAATAAATCCAATGAGTGCATAAATTAATCAGAACTCTCCTTACCAAAATTAAAATTTTACAACTTAACAACTTCCTCCATAAAGTTATTTGTCCTAACAAAATTAACCTTAAAGTGTACTTTAATAGAGTTCGCCACTTCAGTTTTAAAGCAGTATTATAAGCGATAATCCTATTTATAACTCATAGTAAGTTCCACCACTTAATAATACTACTGGCATGCTCAGCTAAGAATTGTAAAAATTAAGTCTCAATAACACTCAGAATATGGTTGATAAAAGCTTAGGGAATAATCAGCATCTATTAAGACATTAATAATATATGGGAAGTTAGTAAATTCCAAGCAGCAATCAAAGCTAGTTTAATCAAACTCTAAGATCTCAAATTTCTGAGTAGCAGCATTAATAGATTTTAAACGAGCAGAGAATTTAATCTGATGAGTTTGTTATATTGAAGTAGGTAATTGATGGGCTGAATAAAAAGATTGACTCAATGCAAAAGTTAACTGAAAATTTATAGTTAACTATTGATTAGAAAGATAGAGAAATTCAAAAAATTAGGTCTATCTATAGTATGAAGGGAGGCAAGACAGAACTGTCATAAGCAGCACGCCAAAAAGTTAAGAGAGACAAAGCTGTTTAGACAGCAGTTAATTTAGTTGATAATAGAACAGAGTATGAAACCTTCAGTTATTTATATGACAAAGACTAGGATTTGATTAGATCGGAAAAAGGATCATTGTTAAAGTATCTAAGAAAAGAAGTTGTTTAAAATTAGGAGTTCTTAGACAGAATAAATGAACTAGAATAGATTAATTAATAACTGCAGGATGAAATACTGATGTATAAAGACTAGTTACAAGATAGCTAGTAATCATTATCTGATCAGTTAGAGAGATAAAAGAAAGCTCTCGCTGAATCTATGAAGAATAAAGTTGACAATTCCACTAACTGTGATAATTTGAATGAGAAAATGGTGAGAGATCTAGAGGAATAAGTTGTCTAGCTAAGTTAGAACTTGCAGAGTGAGAAGAATTCAAATCGTAGACTCTAAAACGATCTAATCGAAAAGCAAAACTAGATCGATTAAATTAGCGATAGCACTAGTCATCAACTATTCAATGAAAACTCCAAGTTAAAGCAGCAATTGCAATCTTTATAATAGGATGTTGAGGAGTTGAACTACTAGATTGACTCACTTAATCAGATCAATCAGGATCTTCAAAATGAAAATTCTAAGTTTCAAGCTTAGATTGAGGAAAAAGAGAAGTATTTCAATGAGTAGGTCCAAAAGATCAAATCTTCAAACTTAGTTTAGTTTGACAGAATAAATCAAGATAAGGATAGACTGCAGAAAAGAGTGGAGGAGAAAGACAAGACTATTTGGGATCATTAGGCAAAGATTGAATAGCACGAGAAGCTTATTTTGGAATTAGAGGGCTAGCTTGACAAGAAAAAGAAAAACAAAAAGAAGAATGAATGCATGGAGTGCTTTAAGAAGGAGGCAGAAATCCAAACCTTGAATGCTAAAGTACTGAAGATGACCGGAGACACCTCTCTAAATCAGAATGAATTGACAAGGTAGATCAAGCAGAAAGACATGCAAATCCAAGACAGCTAAAATCTAATCAAGAATCTTACACTATAGCTGCAGCAGAACATTCAAAAAGGTGGCGATGATCCCATAGTGCAACAACATATTTAAAAACTTCAAAATGTAAGTATCATAATTTAATGTATATTTCATAGGAAAACGACTAGCAGCAGAAATTAATAAAGGATTTAAAGAGTAATATGGAAAAGCAGGCAGCATAATTTATGATGCAACTCATATAACAGTAGCCCTCAGGTGCTCCTGGTAATCAATCTAGAAGATGACTTTATAATAAAAGATTTATTTTATCAGACTCAATGATGCTTTGACTCTTAGATTCATGGGGTTTTGGGGTTTTGGGGTTTTGGGGTTTTGGGGTTTTGGGGTTTT